AAAATGGTTAATCAGCCTCTCATAATTACAAAAAAATGAATAAAATGAAAAATTATGATTGATTGAATGAGGTTTGCACGGTTTATACAAATTGGGTGGTTTTTATTTGAACGCCCCTATATATATATATATATATATATATTTTTTTTTATGTATATGTATATTTAATATAGTATAACATTTTATATAATATTTGATGTTTATATAATATAGCATAATTCATAGATATGGACAAAATATAAAAGATAAAGAACGAGATAAAAAGATGCTCACTTAATATAAGCATCCGCATCAGTCGAAGTGGTGGAAGGCCCCCTGAGTCAAAGGAAGAGCTTATGCGCCTCTCTCCAAGAGACACGATTCGGTATCTCTCCTGGTCTTTCGTTTGCTATTTGAATGTCTGACCAATAGAAATGTACGAAAGGTACAAACAAGCCCTATCCCGTCCCCTCTAAATAAAAGAGTGATTAAACTATTAGTTGTCATTTTTAAAGATTTATAAATTAATTAATTAAGTTATGTACTGCTGACATATTTTGTTCTTACTCATATTATAGATAGCAGTTATAAATCATATAATTAATGTAATTATTTTTTTAAAATTTTTATTTGTTTACAGAAGTCGATATCTATAATTATAATTATACATATATAATTAATAATCAAGTTCAATTTTTATTAATTAACATATTATATTATTGATGATTTATTGTAATTTTATTATAAAATAATCGAATTGACTTGTTTTTTAACATGTCATTTTTTAGTTATTTTTTTTGGAAAAATTGCATTAAAATGGAACCAACTTTCACCTTATTCATATTTTGGGGAACCAACTTTCAAAATCGTCATTTTGGGGAACCAATTTGCACCTGATTCTTATTTTGGAGAACCAACTTGCAAAATAATTATAGAAAAATAACTAAAATTTGTTTTTTTTTTCAAAAATTAATGCAATAAAATCTTTTTTTAATTTCAAATCTCGTTTTTTTAAATTCAGATATTAATTTGAAGATTTTTTCAAAAAAAATCCAAATTACCAAGATAAAAATTGTTTTTTACGAATGCAATAAAAAATCAATTTAATAGGAAAAAAATAATTGATGCAATAAAAAATAAATATTAAATATCACATTCAAAATTTTTATATCTAACCAATCTGTACCAATATTAACGTTTAAATCAAATTTGGCAAATCAAACCAAAAGTTTGATAAAGACCCTTAAATTACTTATTACATGTTCAACAGATCAACCAGACCCTTAAATAAACAAAAAGTTTGATAGAGACCCCTAAATGACGATTTTGAAAGTTGGTTCCCAAAATAGGAATTAGGTGAAAGTTGGTTCCATTTTGGTGTAATTTTTCTTATTTTTTTTATTAACCTGGATATCCATCCCGACATGCAAGCCGACTAATCTCAGGGTTACCACCTGCTTTGCAGATGGCCCGAAGTCATCGCATTTAAACCTCTGTGGCCACAAAGAGATTTTATTCTTACTTGGATTTGAACCTGAGACTCTAGGTACTTTTGACTTTTGGAACTCAAACCAATCAACCACCACCCGTGTGGTTTTTTAGTTATTTTACAAACCTTATCAGCTAGTTTTTTCAAATATGATTGATCTATCAGTTAGTTTTTCAACTAATAGTTAGCTTATTAAATAACATGTAACTTTTCAACTAATAACTAGGTTTTCAATCAACGATTAATGATAGAGGGGAGTTCATACGAGAATGATACGTATTTAAGAAAATAAGAAAATAATTTTGAGTCAATCATTTATTTGAATAATGATTTAAATAAAATTTTCTACAAGATCACCTAAAAGGGCGTATGTGTCATTTGTTGTATACAGATTATATATGAAAATTCATTTATTTATATAAAGATTATTTAATACATTTAATTAAGGTATTTATTCATATTTTTTTTATAGTTTTGTGATTTAAGCATTATTAATTTTTTATTTTTTACAATATTTAAAATAAGTGTGATTTAGTTTTGTGTTTAAAAATATTTATTTTTATTGAAGTGGTTTATTTAAAAATTTCTTACAATTTTCGTCAAAAATCATATGTGATATCCGCGATTAATCAACGTTTTTTTTTCAAAAGGTAATCGCTAATTTTGGTTAATGTATCATATGTGATATTGATTATATTAGAAAAGAAATGTAAGTTATTTATAATATTACATGTGATGTGTGTAAATTACGAAATACGTTTTGAAGTATATGTCATTTTATACATATTAAATGTATTTTGTTATATATCATCTGGGATTCTGTTTTCATTATTTTCTTTTAATGTTTAATTTGAATCATTGTTTTTCAAAATTTAAATCACATATGATTAAAAAAAACATTTTAAAAAATAATTAATTACGAATCACATGTGATTTTGATGAAAATTATAATTTTTCTAAATATTGCTTTAAATAAAAAATTAATTATTTAAATGAAAATTAAATACGATTATTCTAAATGTGTTAAATAAAAAATTAAATCATATTAAAATTATAAATATGGTAAAAATAGAATTTCAAATATTTAAATAACTTTAATATAATTAAATTACTTTTATGTTTTTATTTATTTATTTTTAAAATTAATTATTTAATAAAATGTATATTTTTTTAAACAAATATCATTCTTATATAAACCGAACTTTATAATAATATCCATTATAATGTTAAAAATTGGAACCATTACAAAACTAAGAATATATTTTAGAAAAAAGGGAAAAATATTCCAACACTTGGACTCAAGTACTAAAGCCCAATAAAGAGTAAATTACAATTTTGGTCCCTATGGTTTATTAGTTATAATTTGATCCTTATAGTTTTAAAATTAAAAAATAATCATTATAATTTAAAAAAACATTCATATTTAGTCTCTCTCTAACTTTAGCCGTTAAGTAAGAGGCATTTTCATTCTTTTAGGTTTTTATTTTATTTTTTACTAAATCTTTAAAAAAAAATTAGTTCCATCCATTAGAATAATGACATGTGTGTAACCACCCCTTCCACCAAAAAGTACCACATCCTTCTCATTGTGCCTCCTTTTCAATCATCTTCTCCGGTCAAACCCAAATACAAAAACCAACGTGAAAATCAAATCTAAATCCAAATCCAAACAAAGAAGGTACACTGATATTATTTATAGTTCTACGATGAAGGCACTGATTGAAAACAAATATGAGATTTAAAGAAACGTAACTTGGGTTTTATAGTAAAACAAATCCAATGAAAGTAAGTTGTTGGGTTGATGGGGTCCCCCCCCCCCCGAGGCTTGTTCTTATTTTATGAAGTAACTACAGTGAAGATCTTTTCCAGAGGTTTGTCCTTATTTTACAGAAACTATAATGAGATTTTCTTTCAGAAGTTTGTTCTTATTTTACAGAGTAACCATAATGGGGTTTTTTTTTTCCGGAACATGTTCTTATTTTACAGAGTAACTACAATTGAGGTTTTCCAGAGGCGTGTTCCTTGTGGTTGTGTCACCAACAGAGGTCGCCGGAGGGGAGGGCTAGGGTGGTGGGGAAGACGACAAGGTTGGAGCAAAAGGTCGGGATTCGTCGTGTTTTTGGAGATAGATATAAAGAGGTGGATCATGATGAGGGAGGGAACGAAGAAGGGAAATAATGGGAATTGATGTTTGGTCAACGAAGAAGTGGTCGACATAATCCATAATTGTCAAAATCTCCAAGATGGGTTCTTAAAATCGACATTATGCTCCAAGATGGGGTTCTTGAAATTGAAATTGTGTTCCAAGATGGGTTCTCCATAACTGTTAAATGGGTTCTGAAAATTGCAAATGAGATTTCTTCTTCAACAACATATTTGGAATCGAGAACTCCGGAGATGGAAATGACTATATATATGTATATCTATACTATATTATAAAACATTTGACAAAAACTCTTAAAAATTATTTTTTATGTATGAAGTATCGTATATTGATGCATATTACTTAAAATTCAAGATTACAAGTAAATTATGCATAAGTACAACTTATTAAAGCTCCATATTTGAATTCGTGTGACTAACTGCGGATAAATATAATCAATAGAGGATAAACATTTCATTTTAAAATATAAAAAGTCTAAAATATAATTAGGATAATAATCGAATTCTAACAAAATAATTAATTATTATCTTTATAAGAAAATTATATTATTAAACCAAATATAAATTACTTCGTTATTGAACCTAAATTAAATTATAATTAAAAATTGAATTGAAAAATTACACAAAAAATAGTTAATTGATACTAATATCGATGTATTTTTGTCAATTTTTTATGATATTTTCAAATTTAT